TTTATTTATTTTTCCTCTTTCTCTTCCATGGCTTGAGCAAGGTCTATGCCCAAGAAATAACTGGATTGGGGACTTAATACCTGGTAAGGGCTCCCCACCAAGCCCACTGCTGGCTGGGATGGCTGGTCTGGATTACACTTTTCCCTCCAGGTTGGGCTGAATCTGTGAATGCACAGCTTGGTGCCAGGAGCTTTGTTCTGCACAAATCACCCAAATTGCAAAGCTAAGCAGCCAAGCGGTACTGTGGGCTCTTGGAGCCCTTGTGACACTCCTGGTGAGGAAGGAGGGCTTAGCCTGGCAGGCTGCTCAAATACCAGGTTGCATAGTTACTCCCTCACACCGGGGGACTCTCCCTAGAGTAGCTTCCCAATGGAAGCTTAAACTAGGACAGCTCTGAATACCAAGGCCAGAGCCTCAAACACAGACTGAAAAGTCTATATAGCCCCTCTGAACCCTCAACTGAAAGAGCAATCTCTACACATAAAACATTATAATATGGAGGACAATAAAAAACTTTTAACATGGAGGAGAAAAAAAGAAAGTCTCTCCTTTCTGCTTGGTTTCCTGGCACAAAGTTGGAGGGAAATTTTCATTTTGTTTCAGTCTCGGGCTGGCTCTTTATCTCACAGCATTTGTTTTTTATCTCACAGCATTTGTTTTTTGTCTGGAAGGTTTGAAGTAATTTGTCTTTTTTTGCCCTAGATTAAGAAAAGCCACTGAAGTTCCTAAGTGTGCCAGTGGCTTAGAAGAAAGTTCCCAAGCAGTTCCAAGATCCCCCTCCTGATCTGCTGCGCACTCCAGGCCTGAGTTCTGTGCTCCAGGTGTTCTCAGTGACCTGCATGTGAGCTGGGAATCCCTTTAGGAGAAGGAGCCAAGTGTCCTGGCCCATTGTGTGCTAAAGCACAGGCCAATACAGAAAGGGACCCTGAGCAAGGCAAGGCTTTGGAGCCACCCAGAAGGACTCACAAGCTGAAACTTCCATAGCGTTGAGCTTTACGCTTTCAAAGCACTCGTCTTGCTGGAATTCATGGACTTGTGGTGGGCTCTGAGAGGTGCACATAGGCTGAGCCATCTGACTGCCTGTAGCCCAGTCTCTTGGCTCTCCTTGCCATATTTCTTCCTCCCAGGGGGTGAGTCTGGAGACCTCCAGGCCAAAGCTCCCTTTGTCTATCTATTATCTAGGGCCTATGATACATTATAAGCCGCCTCCATTTGTCCCTTTTGATCCTCCCTCCTCAGCTGGCTGGCCCTTGTTTGCTGGAAGTAGCCACTGATCACTATCGGGAAAATCCTGGAGCCCAGGGGTGGCAAGCCTGAAGAGTGACAGCAGATCAAGGGCACACTTGGCGTTTTGAATTTACTATCTTCGTTTACTATTTCTCAGAAGCTGGCTGGTGACATACCAGACTCACAAACTGACATGGTCTCTATCTCCCAGGCTCCAACGGCACACATTCCTATCAGTTACTTTTAATAACCCTGAAGATACTGCAGCCACATCCTGCTGCAAACAGCCACGGTCTGCCTGGCAGGCCAGCCTCCTCTAAGGTCTTGCCCTCCAATAGCTGTTCTCCCAGCTGCACTTCTGAGGTTACTGATTTTCTTATTCACACAGGGAACTGCCTTTCTCATACTAGTCCTCCCTTGGCTGAGGTTTTATCAGACCTGACCTCTCAGTACTTTTCCTTTTTTCTTCATAGAACCCACAGTGGTCTATTGCTTATGTGTGAATTCATAAGGATGGCTGTCTTTATATACAGTACTTCCTGGAAACACCTTAGCTCCAATTGCCAATTAAGAAAGGAAGAATTGGCTCGGCGCCTATAGCTCACCCGGCTAAGGCGCCAGCCACGTACACCTAAGGTGGCGGGTTCGAATCCCCAGCCTGGACCCGCCAAACAACAATGACGGCTGCAACCAAAAAATAGCCGGGCGTTGTGGCGGGCGCCTGTGGTCCCAGCTACTTGGGAGGCGGAGGCAGGAGACTCGCTTGAGCCCAGGAGCTGGAGGTTGCTGTGAGCTGTAATGCCACGGCACTCTGCCCAGGGGGACAGCTTGAGGCTCTGTCTCAAAAAAAAAAAAAAAAAAAAAAAAAAAGAAAGGAAGAATTTTGGTCACTTATCTAATTTAAATTGTATAAAGAACAATTTCTATGAGGTGGCCTGCACGGGGACAAGAACAGTATTATCCACATTGCAGCTATTTACATATTACTTTCTTTCTGACATAACAACACACCCGCTGTGATATTCTTCCTTGATGTTTCACATTAAATTGTCTTAAGCCTACACTAGCCTTACCTTAAACAATATTTGTAAAATCATCAGTTTGAGGTGCTAGTTGTAAAATTAAAGTTTAAACTTAAGATTAAATTCATATTTAAAGTTCAAATATTAAAACTGGCCAGGTTGTGCTGGCTCACACCTGTAAATCCTAGCACTCTGGGAGGCTGAGGCAGGAGGATCACTTCAGCTCCAGCGTTTGAGACCAGCCTGAGCAAGAGAAAGACATTGTCCTTACCAGAAATAGAAAAATTAGCTGGGCATTGTGGTATGTGCCTATAGTCTACTTGAGAGGCTGAGGCAGGAGGATTGCTTGAACTCAGAAGTTTGAGGTTGCTGTGAGTTAGGCTAACACCACTATACTCCAGCTGGAGGCAAAAGAGTGAGACATTGTCTCAAAAAAACCCCAAACAAACAAAATACCTAAGACATACTCATTAAAAAGAAGTGTTTTCCTGTCTATCACAGGAATCCCATTGATCAACATAATTTAAAGTCTACCACCTAAAATTATTTCCTATATTATTCGTGTTAGGTTTCTACTTCGGGAAATAGTCATCTAGAACCTAGTTTTCGCAACTGTATTTGCGAAACTACTAATTTTCACACTGTATTTGAAATTTTCAACAAGAATTTCATAGAAACAAATCCACTACTATTTTAACTTAGCCAAAGATAAAGTAATACTGTGGTTTCTTCACAATGATTTTGGAGAGTAAAGAAATTTAGCGTATTCGAGAACTGTGATTTTCAAGCATGCTATGAGAGAATCTTAGCTGCGCAGCAAAAATTTTTAAAGGTCATGAATTAAATTATTTCAAAAGAAGTGCAAAGTATAGTAAATATATTCTTTTTCTGTTAGTGCTTTTTTTGATCAACATAATTTAAGTGTGCCAAGGAAATTTAACGATAGGTTCGAGTGTCCCATTTGATTAAAAAAAGATTAAAAAAAAATACTCTAGAACAGTGCAAAGTATCTCCCCGAGGTCAGAACTTATGTAAAACAGAAAGAAATTTATAATCATTATTAAATCCTATTTATTAAAAAAGCCACTTGAGCTCTTTCTTTGAAACTTCATCAGCTAACCGTTCATTCCTAAATAAATGATCACATCTGAGCATCCCAGCCCGAGGAGAACCAGGAGACACTGTTGTCTATTTTGTTCAGTCTTATAAGCTAAATGAAAACCATCTCACAAATGCTACCCATCTTTTCAACCCCGCCTCCAAATCTTCCATCTCCAAAACCAGAAACAAGCTCAGCTGTGATCTCTAATGATTCCATTAACCCCGCAATGAAGCATTAAATTAAACTGCCTAGTGCAGATTCTTCTTCTGTCAGAAGGGGAAACACACCTTGTAAGGCCAGGATTTCATACTGTTAGATTTACCCGCCAACTAGGTGTGTACAAGAACATGCATAAGCAAAATACTTTGGCAAATTATGAAATCTCCAGTGGGCATGCTCCAACTGATTTTTATTTCCCCAATATAACTTACCATAAAGATTTTAGTTACAGAGAGTTGAGTCTTTATTAAGTATAGAGAAGAAGCCGACTTGGGCTAGAACTCTACTGGAAAACCTTTCCTCATCCTGATAAATAAATCACAAGCCTAGAGGCTGGGGAGACTCTAAGAACGACATGTTCAAGTCAGTGGTAGAGACTGGGCCCGATCCCAAATTCCTAATAACGAATTCAGTGTTTCCCAGCCTTCCCTGAGAGAACGTGAAGATTCCTCCTCAGCAACTTCCATTTCTGGGTGTGATTTTTGGGATCTGTCTCTTTAGTGTGCTGCCCTATTTCTCAGAAGTCAGAGAACTACAGAAGTCACTTTGCTCTCTGTAAAAAGCGTGCCCTGCTAAGGGGACATCAGGCACTGTCCTTGTGCTACTATTTGGCTTTCCGATGCATGAGGTTTTGTACCCAAAGAGAGTAGAGTCATTTCAAACCACTCACATCTAAATTCCACGTTACAGCTCATCAGCCCAGATGTGGAAAGAGGTCAAGTACGTCAGAAAAATCCTTGAACAGCCAGATCATTAAAGGGTATTTGAAATCTGTACTGAAATCCAGAATTATAGCACATTAGAGCTGGAAAGGATCCTGGAAATCATATAGCCCAAATCCCTTCTTTAAGAGGGCTGCTCAAGGTCATAGAATTGGTTTGTGTCAGAGCAAAGACGAGAATGTGGAGGCCCCAAAGACCTCTTTACGGCAGTGTTTTCTGATGCTCTTTTCTTCTCCGCCAGCGATGGCCATGACACATAATCAATCCCTATAATGTCACCTTCTCAGCATGTGGTGTATAAACCTACATCTTTAAGCCTTGCCTCCCATTACTAGGCAACAGGAGGCTTGAAGGTGAAGTCTCCTCAGCCAAGACCAAAAAAGCTCATTCGCACACAGAGCTAGCTGTGTGTCCCAACGTGTTAATACCTAGAAAGCTGACTAACAAGAGAGGAAGGAAAGCAGCCCCTAGGGCCTGCTGGGCTAACAAAGAAGCAGTAGCAACAATCAAAACAACAACAAAACCACCCAAGCCTGAACTCCCTGTGTTCTTGCTGTCAGAAGTGCTACCCTACACAGAGGCAGGACTCAGGAGCCCTCAGCAGCCCTCCTCTCCTCCCAATCTATGTCCTACCACCACAGACCTCGTTTCTCAGGCCACTCTGGAATCACCTGTGCATCTGGCCCACCCCAAGGGAAGCAAGCTTACCTGTCAGCGTCTCCGAGGCCCAGGGAGGTATTTCGTTGCAGGGTCTCCCGCACCACAGCCATCCCATCAGGGAGCCGGTTCAGGCGACGGGTATAGAGGCCAAGTCCACCATCAGTCATATACCTTTAAAAGGAGAAGAGGATGAGCCATGTGTGTGTTCAAAAGCAACTTGCAAACCGGCTTGCCATCTTGTGTTCTAAGGAGGAAGGAACAGAGGATTCCCGGAGGCTCTGTCACTGATCACAGCCCAAGGATAACTAAGCTGCTGATTCAACCTAGAAGATCACCAGCTTGCTGGCAAAAGAAAAAAAAGAAAAAAAACCCCAGCTTAATTAACCCAAACTCACAGGCCTCTATAAAGCAGAAGGAAAGTCGTGAATAAAATTAACCGTCAGATGTATTCATGACAGTCTTTTTAATGTCAGAAATTACACAAGCAGGTGTTTTACCTTTGTAAATCGAACTGACAAGTCGTTAGCAAATCAGAGACAAAAATATTCCAGAACAATGCAGCAGAGAAAGCAGGGAAGCATTTAAGAGAGGAGGAAAGAAAGCACAGAGGACAGAAGAGACACCTTGGCCATCAGGGGGCAAGTCAGTGATCTGGCGTGGGGGTTTTCCACTTGAACTATGGGGAATACCACAGCCTGTGACATACAGGGGCATCACAAGGCAGACACGAGAATAATTAGCAAGCTATGGAATCTGGAAGTGCCCTGCAATTTGTATGTGACTATATAAATGGAAAACATTATTGTGGTTGTGATCTTGAAGTATCCGCAACAGTGAATTCCACCTTAGATACTGATGTCTAAGGGGGGTTTTCTCACACAAGGCTGTGAACATGAACTCTGATTTACTCATTGCCAGATCTGTTGGTGAGGCTACAAGGGCTGCTTTCTGATGAAATCAGTGTTGTGTAGTGCATGGAACATGCTGTACGATGGCTGACAGCCTACCAAGCAGACAAGTTCCCGAAAGCTTAGCCTCTAGTAGGAGGAAGTACAGGTCCAAAGTAGTTGTACCTCAGGTCCACCTTGGTTCATTCAGCACCTTGTAAATGAGACCGGGTGTGTCATTTCCCTTATATTCACAGGAGAACGAGACAACCAAGCAAAACTTGGGCGGAGCCAAAAACCAGACTTGGACCCTGACTACCTGCACAGACCCCGACCAGAGTACCCTTGCAAAGCATCTGAAATGCAAGCATTTGACTTTTCAAGTCAAATAATATGTAGTAAGGAGACCAATGAATGAGTCATTATTTTCTCAAAACAGAGTCAGCTGAGCAAAATCACTGCATTTCACCAAACTCAGCATTTTTGGTTAGGTTGGTTTGGTTATCCAGAACCAGGAAGTTCAAGTAAGGGGCAGAGAAGAAAGTTGCCACTGACACTCTCTTCTGTGAGAAGCACCTTCTTGTACGGGTCCCAGAAATCTTCCCTCAGTGCAGGAGATCACGTCTGAATTGAATGCCTCTCATGTCCGCCCTTCCCGTTATGACATCACTGAAGACACATGACACAAGGCCAACACAGTGAAAAATATGTCAGAGTGAGTCAGACCAAGTGTTTGTGGTTGGACTGACAATATGGCCGCATAATGGCCTGAACTTTTCACTCAATTGTCTCATTTTGAAGACAAAAAACCACTTTGTGAAACTACAGAAAAAACCCACAGAATTGTACAATTTAAAATGGTGAATTTTTATGATATGTGAATTATATCTCTGTAAAAAACAATGATTGTGGCTAGAGTTAAATAATTATCTGCCTTAATTGCCTTTTGATGCTTGTGTCTCACACTAGATTGTTGGCTCTTTGGAGGGAAGAGAGTATTATTTTGTTCAAATCTACAACCTATGGGCTTTACTGTTTTTGTTGAATCAATGAACACGTGAATGGATGAGGCCCAAAGACACAGCCATAGGGTGGAGTTTACCAAAAACATTTTGCAAGGAGACTGATTACAGGTTTTCTTTCCCTTTAAATGTTAACAGACTTCTAAGACACATGGCAAGGCAAACTGAACTGTGAATCTGCCAATCTATGCATCATCCATCCGTTAATTCACCCACCCACCCAACAGATGTAGGAACTCAGGGTAAAGCTAGGATGGACTATGTGCGTCCATCCTACAACTGGCACGAACAGGAAAAAGAAAAAAAAATCTACAACAAAATGCTGTAACTGTGCCAGAGGCTGGACTTTCTAGATCAAATGTCTTTTCAAGGAGAATTCAAGGGAAGCTCTTTAAAATACAATCCATTGCACCATTAAGCAAGGCAGTTAATTTTGATGTTAGCAAAGTCTGCCCAGCCAGTTAGATAAACAAAATTCTTTCAACTGGGGAGATCTTGTCAAAGGACAAACAAACTAATTTTAGCATTCATTTCCCTGCTGGATTTTTACTGCTGGTGAAACGACAGGCACGGTTGGGCAATTACACACACCCAGGCATGTAGACAAGGCCTACACATACATGCCCCTGGCCTTCTGCTGTGGCCGGAGAGTAGAGCCTGGTGAGCATTTCAGGGATGGAATGCTGAGACATGCTGCAGCCCCCAGCTCAGCGGCACCTGGGTGCAATGTGGTACCCAGGTGCAAGATGACAACTAGTGAAGGTGGGAGGCCCTGGAGAGATGGGACTGAATCTGTGAACGTGGCTTGACAAATGGTGCTGGGAATCCTTTGTGTAGGCAGACAGGAGGGGAAAGGCAAAGATAAATTAGGGCCCTCTACTTTCTCAAATACACTAAGAACTGAAAGTCAGGGAGCTGAATGCAACTCCTATGACAATGATCTATTTTCAGCTGTAAGTCTATTTCATTCACTGGGGGGTGGGGGGGGGCAGAGAAGGAAGAGTGATAGGAAAATGGGAAATTTACTTCTTCTCCCAGAGGTTTGTAAATGAATACATACGCAATCATTAAAAAAAAAATAATATCCATGCTAGGTACAGTGGCTCATGCCTGGAACCCTAGCACTTTGGGAGGCCAAGGCAGGAGGATCACTTGAGCCCAGGAGTTCAATACCATCTTGGGCAACACAGCCAGACCCCATCCCTACAAAAAAATAAAAATAAAAAAAAAAAAATAGGCCAGTGCGGTGACTCACACTGTAATCCTAGCACTCTGGGAAGCCGAGGTGGGTAGATTGCCTAAGCTCACAGGTTTGAGACCAGCCTGAGTAGGCGTCAGACCTCATCTCTAAAAATAGCTGGGCATTGCAGCGGGCACCCAGATACTTGGAAGGCTGAGACAAGAAGATCACTTAAGCCCAAGAGTTTCAGGTTGCTGTGAGCTATGATGCCACAGCACTTTATCCAGTGCAAGAAAGTAAAACTCTGTCTCAAAAATAAATAAATAAATAAATAAACAAACAAGCCAGGAATAGTGGTATATTCCTATAGTTCTGGCTACTTGGGAGGCTGAGGCAAAAGGATCTCTTGAGCATAGGAGTTCAAGGCTGCAGTAAGCTATGATGACACTACCATATTCCAGTGAGAGTCTGACTCTTAAAATAAAAAATAAAATTAATATTATTCTTCATAATAAATTCTGTTGTATGCCTCTTCCTGGGAGACAGCACAGCACTGGATTCAGAGTTGTTATTAGAACCATCCTCAAACATAGGAAACTAAAATATTTCTTATTAAATTATTATCCATCAATTATAATAGCTTGACTTTCAAAAAAGCTTTATATGCTATGTTTTTAAACAACTCTTCTAGTTTCAATGAAAAACATACGCTTTTGTTGGACCCTAATTTGTATGAGAATTGGCTTCTAATAACAAACTGCCTTAATGAAGTTAATTCCTTAAGAAAGCATAATTTACAGATGAAATAGTCACTGGTGTACTCATTTGAAGGAGTGGCCTTTGCCCAGCCATGTTAAAAAGGCTTGTGGGCCAGGCCTGGTGGCTCACGCCTGTAATTGTAGCCCTCTGGGAGGCCCAGGCGGGAGGATATCTTGAGCTTTGGAGGTCAAGACCAGCTTGAGCAAGAGTGGACCCCATCTCTACTAAAAACAGAAAACAATAGCTGGGTATTATGGTGGGAGGGTGACTTAAACCGGAATCTGAGTATGCTGTGAGGTAGGCTGATGCCACAGCACTGTAGCCTGGGCAACAGAGTGAAACTCAGTCTCAAAACAGAAAAAAAAAAAGGCTTATGTTCTTGAGAGCTCAGGGAAACAGGGGAGTTCTGGCTTCACTTCACATTTTAAAGTTTTCAAGACACTCACACTGAGTGCAGAAGAAATGACTTGCCTGAGGTCACGAGCAAAGGAACCAGTTGCTCTGAGACCTGAATCCCAGAGCTCCGGTGTTACACTTCCCTTCTCCTTGGGGAAATAAATCATTAGTGCTAAAGCCGAATGAGGTGCTGGTGACATCCTAATGATTGCTGAGTGGGTTCCTGCCTAAGTTGCCAAGCTGCTCCACAAGCCCCACATTATCCTCTTGGGTTCTGTGGGGAAGGAGGCTTTCTGCCACCTTCCGAGGGTCTCCCAGAGAGCTCTGCGCAGAGAGAGTGGGAGCCTTTGTAAAGAGACACAGTGTCTAGTCTTGCTTTTCAACACTGGGACATGGTGAGGTGCCCCACAAACATCAGTATAACACCTAGAGGCCAGATGCCTCCTCTGCCCCTTGCTAGCTGAGGATCTAGTACACATGACTGTCATCATTATTGGTAAGAATTAACCTCGTACCCATCATTATCAGTAAGAACTAACCATACTGAGTGCTGGCTGGGCACCGTGTTAAGTGCGTCATGTAAATCATCGCAGTCAACCCTTGAAAGAATCTCATCAAGTGCATTACCCTCTGTATAGTTCAGATGAGGCAAATAAAACTATGGTCAAGATCACAGTGCAGGGAGGTGGGCCAGACCCCAGCTTTGACATGTTTCAGTGTAATTTCTTTGAGATCCAGATTTCTCACTTGCAGGCTGGGTGAAAGTACAGATCCTCTTAGGACTGTGGTAGGTTAAATGAGACAGTGCACACACGTAACAGCCGGAGCCTGGCACACAGGGAGCATTTCCTGTCACAGCCCACGCTGCAACCACTTGTCAGGGCCCGGGACTGGCCAGGTCTCAGGCCCGGTTTAACTAGGTTCCAG